ATTCCATCACTGCTGGGTAAGTAATGCCAGTCTTTAAAAAATTTCTGTCTTGTAATTTATTTTATTTCACTGACTCCCAGAATGGTTTGGGGTTGGAAGGGACCTTAAAGTTCATCCAGTGCCACCCCCTGCCATGGGCAGGGACACCTTCCACTGTCCAAGCCCGGTCCGACCTAGCCTGAGGGCACTTCCAGGAACCCAGGGGCTTCTTTGGGCACCCTGTGCCAGGGCCTGAGCACCCTCACAAAGAAGAATTCCTTCCCAATATCCCATCTAACCCTGCCCTTTGGCAGTTTGAAGCTCTTCTCCCTTGTCCCGCCTCTCCAAACCGTTGTATAAAGTCCCCCTCAATCTTTCCTGCAGGCTCCCTTCAGGTACTATTTAATTTAAAGTACTAATTCATTTACTGATTAACTTAACCTAACTCAAGGCTCTGGTATTGACACTGCCTCAAAGCCTCTCGGCAGCAGCCTCTGAGCTCAGGCCCGCAGGCTCCGGGGTTCCATCCCTGCCCGCTCCGTGTCCGCCCTCAGCCCGGCCCGGCGGGCCCCGCCAACCGCCTTGTCCCGGGCCGCGCGGCCNAGGGGGCGCCCGGCGGCGGGAAGCGCGCGGGAAGGCGTCGCGTGAGCCGCATTGGTATGCAAATGTGCCGCTAATGAGTTGGGTAATGACGCGGTTAATGAGCTGAGGAGCGCCTTCCCCCTCCTCTTCCCAATCTCAGGGAAGCCTCCCTTATCTGCTGCCTTTCCGCGGGCAGCGTCCCGCGCCCGGAACAGCCCAGGGCAATTAATCAACCCTTCTGGCTAATTAATCAGCCCTTCGGGCTAATCACTACTGCAGGGTAATTACCGACAATAACGGGAGCACAGGTGCGCTATCCCGCTAGATTCCCCGAACAGGACAGAGGAGCTAAAAATGCAGTAGAGATACTCCAGCAAAAAGGATGTGAACTGACTGGAATGAATCAATCGATCAATAAATAAATAAACACAAGCACACCAGGGGAGGGGCAGATCCCAGATAACCCCTCTCAGGGGACATATTCCTTTGGGAAACAGCCCCCTCCCGGTGCAGCCGGCTGCCAAGGAGCAGAAGAGCACGGGGGAACGAGGAGGGTGACAGGGATGTCTGTGTTCCCAAAACACAGTGTCCCCAAAACTCTGGTCCCGCGGGCTGAACAGCCAGGGGGGTGCACAACTGCCTCCCTTTGTCCCCACGGTCTGTTCCCCCGGGATTTTTGGGTGGCGGCAGCCTGGCTTCTGTCCCAGTGACAGCACGGCCCGCATGGGACCCCGTCCCTCCCAGTTTGGGGGCCACAATCGCCATCACTTATAAAGAAGCCTCACGATCAGAGGTTTTGAGGATTCGAGACTTTATTTCATTACGGATTATTTGGGTTCCAAAAGCTGGTTCCAGCCCCACCGATGTTTTTTGGGGGTGAATGTATTTTCTGCCCCCACAATAGAGGGACAGACGTGACAGCTGCTCTGCCGTCACCATCTGCCCCACGTGTGATGTGGGGGTGCCTGTGGGCAGGGGGTGTGTGTTGGTCCCCGAGTGGGGACAGGGGACCTGAGCACAAGCAGTGACTGCCCAAGGATGAGCTGTGCTCGCTGCGTGACCGAGGGCAGTGACCAGCGACACGGGACTTTGTGAGCGGGGTGTCAGTGTGACACGGTGTCTGTGAGTTCATAATTAGCTTTGCGGGTGATGGGTTTTAATCAGAAATGTTCAGTCTTCACCCATTGCCCCTCTCCGTGTGCCTGGGCAAGTCGCTGTGCCCCAGGGGAAGCAGCGCAGGGAATCCCGGAGCCCTTCCCTGTCCCGCAGGCGGTCCCGGCCGCCCCAGGAGAGATGATCCGCTCACCTGGCTGAAAGCAAGCACAAAAACTGCTCAGTCCACCGATCTGATGAGGGGAAGAACCCCCTTGATCTACGCTGAGCGTCCTTTGCTGGGTGTCCCAAGCCTGGAAGTGGCCAAGGCCAGGTTGGACGGGATTTGGAGCAACCTGGGACAGTGAAAAGTGTCCCTGCCCATGGCAGGGGTGGAACGAGACGATCTTTAAGCTCCGTTCCCGGTATATCACCCGGTTATTCCCTGTTTCTGGGACTGACTGAAGCCCAGCGGTGCTGCCACTGTCGCAGCTCCCGCATCCAACTTGCCCCGGTGTCACTTTGGCGCCGGTGACCAGCTTTAATTCCCTGGCACGCTTGGCTGAGCACTCCCCACCCCCTTGCAACTGCCTCCTATTCCAGGAAGGAGCGCAAGAGCTTTTGCCTCACTTTTCACACAGCTTTCAGCAGCTCCAATGTCATTGCCTTGGCGACCGGGACGCTACTCCAGTGTAGTGCAGTAAATAACGTAGATCCTCAATCCCAGGCCACTCCTGTCTGCGGGAGACCTCCGAGGGAACTCAAAACGCAGGTAGGAGGAAAAAAAGAAAGCAAAAAAACAAACTATAAAAAGAAACCCCTTGCTTTGGGTGTGAGTGAGTTTCCAGGTACGACCCTCCCCCGAGCGCTCGATAACGCGCTGGAAGATGATTTGCGGCCGCTTTACTTCGTGGGCTTCCGACACAATTTAAAGTGTCTTGGAAAGTTTGCTCCCAAGTGCCTTATGTCTGGAGCGAATGCACTTTTGGAGGAGCCCTGAACGGGGGGAACAGCGGAGGGGGTGGATGCCGGTGGGATGCAGGGCTGGCTGGCTGCCCCTGTGCAGGGCTGAGGCTGGGCTGCCAAGGAGGGAGGGGGAGCAGCGGCCTCAGCTTCCTCCCCATCACGAGCTGCTGTCAGTGACTGCAGCCAGAGAGGATTTCTGCCCAACCTGCCTCGGAAAGAAAAGTGTTGATAAGCTGCTGGACTCCACAGAGGGGTCTTGAGATTCAAAGTGTGCTGCAGGAAAGTTCGCTCGCTCCCTATTGCTTTTACAAACCTCGTTTTGCAGGTGTGAATTTAACAGTCCGGGACAAATGAATGATAGCACAGGGCTGCGTTAGCGCCGTGGGACTTGCATTTTTGTAAACATTAAGTTGTTTGCTGCGGGTTGGATGAGCCTGATGGGTCTCGTTGTGCGGAGGAGAGAAGGTCCAGGGTCAGTTCCCAAGTCATGGAGCAGCTCCGTGTGAGAGGTGGAAACGGCTCTCAGAAGTCCTGCTCTCCCAGAGAGCCCTTAGGAATAAGTCATAACCCTTTACATAGGGTTTGTGCATTTATCTCCCTTTAAGGTGGCTGCAAAACGCTATCATGTTTCGTTCTGGGCTGTTGGAGTGGCGGGATAGCATTGAATCACCAAGTGACAGCAAAAACTGAGCATTTCTGGTGCTAAACCTGAGCCCTAATGTTGATAGTGAGATCAAAGATGCTCCTTCCAGAGAGTGCAGAAACTCAGCGGGCAGGCAGTGCTCCCAGCAGGGCTGAGAGCCCACGGTGCCCTTCACCGTCCTCATTGTGATGAAAAAAGTTGATTTTATAATCATTCTAATAATTTGTTGTGGCTCTGTGGTCACAACACGTGAGTGAAGCAAGGCTCGATAGGTTCATCTGCTCTGCTTCTCCAGGGAGTTGTTCTCACAAATTGAGGTGGCTGTCGGGACCTTGGTCCGTGCTTTTCCTTCTTCCTCTGTCTCTGGGGCTGGGTTTTCCACTGCACCGTGGAAAACTGAGTGCGTGGCGCTTTTCCTTACTGATGGTCGGAAATCATTTCAGGGGCCGTTCGCAGGGAAGCTTCATGGGCAGAAGGAGCCGGACCCGGTGCGACCCCGCCGGGTCCCGCATGCCGGGGATGGCAGCCCCGCCGCAGGCTGAGCCGGGTCCTGCGGGGAGCAGAGGTGGGGGATCACCTGTTCGCAGGCTTTCTCTCCCCGCTGCCGGGCTCTTTTCCCGTGTGCAGGTTCCCTGCAATGCCCTGACTAGCAACAGAGGGAAGCAGCAATCCAGGGAACGCTGGAGCCGGCTTGGAGTGCAGCTCTCCCAATGAACGCCGGTAAATCCCACCAGCAACCCGGGATCCCAGCACCAACCTCCTGGTTTGCACATTTTGGTCTCTTTTTCCCTTAGAAACATGCAATAAATCCAGTGCAGGTCCCTCCCGAGCTGTGTCAGCCGTGCCAAGCATCTCCCACTGCCTCCCTGCTGCGTCGGGGCAGAAGGGATGGAGAATTCCTTCCTGCACCCTTTCCCCTGGGCTAGCAAATCTCCACTTTAATAAGCAGATTGGGGTCTCTGGAGGTGAGAATCCTCCTGATGGAGTGTGGCTGGAGAATTCTTGCTGGAAGAAGTCAGGATGAAACCCCAGGTCTTCCCTCTGGTGTGGGGAGCTGGTGACAGCAGGGAGCTGACACAGTCAGGGCACAGGCAGAACAGGCTCAGAACTGAGGAGCTGGAAGGGACAGGGAGCTGAGCTGGGCTGTGTCTGGTCCTGAACTCAGCCCCAGGAGCCTTTTGGTCAGCCTTGGGCACGGGAATTGCATCCATGGCACTAGGAATGCTTCCAGAGCAATGCAGAATTAGGCTCCAAGGCTCTTCCCAATTTACCTTTGATTTTGATGTTGCACAAAGCTCCCACTGCTTCCCACAGGGTGACTTTTCCTTCTGCAGGACCTCACCATTACAGTGCTTTCCCACCTTCCCAAATGTGAAAGCCTCCAGCATTCCCTGAAAACGGGCTCTAAATGGCACCTCCTTTCAGAGGGAATTGGATCAGCACCAGGCAAATTTGAGGGAACCTATTTGTAGGTAAACTGATTGGTAAATTCTTTACCAACCCAGGGTAAAGCTTGGCACCAGGCTGTCACTATTGCTGTAGAGGTGCTTTCCCAGGATGAGCAGGAAGCAGAGCAGCAGGGATGTGCTTTAACAGCACCAACCACCCGAGTTTCCCTTTGTACCCCTCAGTTCAGAGCTCAAACATGAGAAGACACTAGCCTGGCTTTGCACACCCAGGCTGTGCTTTGAAAGAGTGAAAGGGAACTTCCAAAACACCCTTAAAATAGTCAGGTTTCTTGCCTTTTGAAAACGAGAGCAGCCACGTGGTTAGAGCTGGTGTCACCCATGATGACCACACAGCCGGGGCGGTGCGGAGGTGCTTTCTCCTCTGGAGGAAAAGGCCTGACTACTTCCTGAAGCTGCTCTGGGCCAGGGAAAGCAGCATGGAAGAAGGGTAAGGCCGCCAGCAGTCCTATTCTGTCATCTGCATCTGTTCTAGGCTTTTCTTCCTCTCAGAGCTGCCCGCAGGTCCTTTCATTTCCCTGTGCGTCAAACGTGGGATGTGGAGGGACAGACGGGAGGACAGACTCCGCCTGTTAGCTGTCCCTGACATGGGACCCGTGAGGAACGAGCCCTCCTGTGCCCTCCTGTGCCTGGCAATTCCTCCAGGCAGAGTGGCTGCGGATGCTGTGTTTTGTAGAAAGCAGCTCACGGGATCTACTGACGGGGAAAGCTTCCCTGCTTTCATTTGAACTCCCTGCCCTGCAGCCGCCCGGTCCCCAGCTGAGTCAGAGCATCCCTCACTCAGAGAGCAGCTGCCCTCAGCTTGGCAGCTGGCGCCCAAAAAGCAGGAAATGTCGGGTTTTCGCTATGAGATGTCGCAGCTGAGGTGGGATGCTAACACCAGCGTGGGTAAAAGGGGCAGCCAGATGTGCCTGGGGGTGTCAGCCGGGGCAGGGGAGAGGTGCTGCTGCTTGCAGGGCAAGGGTAAGGGAGGAGGAAGATGGTTGCTCATAGGGGAAGGCAGCACCACGCTCAAGATGGCTCTGTGAAACCTCCGGCTCCAGCTGCTGGGTGCAGGAGGCTCTGGGCACACAGGGAGAGCTGGGCTGGGCTGCTTTCCTCCCGTGCCTGAGAGAGGCAAAGAATCCTTGTGCAGGGTGAGGGGAACGGACTGGACTGAGTGTGGATCTGGTTATGACCGTGCAGCAGCATCCAGGAGTCTTTGGCTGAAAAACAGATTCATTCCACTGAGCTTGGGTCATCTCTGCCTTCTGCCCTGCCCTGCACTGCTGGGAGTGTGGGCATTGTCCCCCACAATGGGCCATGGGGGTGTCCAGTGCTGTGGTCCCTCATGATGGGCCTCTGGTCCTGTGTGTCCCCCACGATGGTTTGGGGGTCTCTGGTCTTGTGTGTCCCCCACAAGGGGTTCCTGACCCCTGTGTCCCCTACCATGGGCTCTGGGGCTCTCTTGTCCCTGCCATGCTGCTGGGAGTGAGTTGGGACTGGGGGATGGCTGTCCTTGGACAGCTGCTTTGCTGGAGTGAGATGGCACACACAGCACAGCGTGGCACAGCACGCTGGCAGAGCTAACCCTGCTGTTTCCCTTTGCCCCCAGAGTGATTTACCCTCTGTCAGACTCCCCCACTGTGAAGATGTCCCAGTCATCCCCAGCTGATGAAGGCACCACGTTTGAGCACCTCTGGAGCACACTGTAAGTAGAGTGGTAAATTCTCCCCACACCCCACGGGGAGTGTTTGGAGGCAGCAGTGGCTCTTAGCCAAAGACAAATCTTTTGCATCCTCTGCTTTCCACAGACACCTTTGCCACCTGGCAAATTTTGCTCCTTGGTTTCAAACTCTCTGCTCAGGGCATTCCATTTGCCAAACAACATGGCACTGTCTGTCTCATGGGTGGCTCCTTCCTGGCTGCAGTGCTCCAGGGCAGCCTGGGGACAGTGTCAGGGCCAGAGCAGAGCTCCCCTCAAACTGGGACCCTTAATTCCAAAATTAAACATCTTTCAGCCCCACCAAGACGTTTGCAAGTCTTCTGGCCTTTGGGCCTCATGCTCTAATCCAGCAAGGGAGAAGGACTGTGCTTCATTTAATCTTCTACCCTCCTTGGTCCTCTCACATAAGAGTATCCCCAGGTGACAGATATGCTGCAGTAGCTGGGTGGATGCAAAATTTCCTACGTCTTTGCTTGCTTTACCTGGCAGGTAAAGCCTGCTCTGCCATGTGGAAAAAAAGCAGAGGATGGAGGAATAGATTGGGAAAGGGGCAAGGTGCGTTGGAAAGCTGGGAAGATGACTGTGCCCTCACCTTCTCCTCAGGGAGCCAGACAGCACCTACTTCGACCTCCCTCCAGCCAACCCCACCGGCAGCAATGAGGTCTCCAACCGCACAGAGGTCACAATGGATGTGTTCCAGATGAGAGGCATGACCGACTCAGTGATGGTGAGTGTGCTCAGAAAGCAGGAATGGGGATCTGAACCCAGCATAGAGTTGATTTCCCTGCAGGAAACCCAGGGCTGGGGGCTCTGGGGGAGGCACTGGGGTGGTACAGGGTCTGGTCACCTGTAATCAGTGGCACAAGGGTCAGTAAAACCGTAGCTATTTATTGTTAGATAACATCAGTGCAGGCAGCAGCTGGGGCTCAGAGCTCTGGGGGAGTACCAGGACAGCAGCAGAGTGTCATTCTCTCTGTGACAAACGGTGTGGAGTAAAAGCCATTTGTGAGCTGCTGCGGGGGCAGAGCTGCTGGAGGGGCACGCCGTGCTCACAGCTCTGCTCCCACCACAGCCCCAGGTCCGTGCCACTGCCCTTCCTGAGAGAAGCCTTTCCTTCTGTCTGAGGCAAAGTCGTGGAAAAGCATCACGGGCATGCGAGACATCCCAGCTGCTTGTGCATGTTCAGTGGTGCCCAGGAGCGTCCCTGAGGCTGCCCTGGCTGTTGGCTGTATCTTCCTGAGGAGAGCTGCTGTTTCCCTCCAGAAAGTCACTGTTTCCCTCCGGAAAGTCACTGTTTCCCTCCGGAAAGTCACTGTTTCCCTCCGGAAAGTCACTGTTTCCCTCCAGAAAGTCACTGTTTCCCTCCAGAAAGGCACCGTTTCCCTCACTGACAGCTTGCCTCCCCTCCCCCAGCCCCTTTTCCCTCTCTTTCCGCTCACTTTCCCTCCCTTCCCTGGCCTTTCACAGCGGGCAGGAGCTGGGCAGAGTGCTGCTAATTGGGGCTGTGCCCCTCGCTGGGCGAGCCCTCACCTTTCCCCTCTCTCCTGCGGTAACCAAAGCCGAGCCTGGCGGGGCTGGAGCAGCCCGAGGTGCGCAACAAGAAGTGCTCTGCTAACAAGATGTCAGCGGCCTGAGGGAAAGGCTGGAGAGGGGAAAGGCTGTGGAGGGACCACTCAGTCCGTGCTGATTCCCATGTTCTTGGCACATACTGATGCCAGAGTGGTGCTGATGCTCTGTGGCAGTGAGCAGGTCACCCTGCTCTGTCAGGCATCTACCCCTAAATATTCCTGTCTATCCCTCTCACCATCCATCCATCCATCCATCCATCCATCCATCCATCCATCATCCATCCATCATCCATCATCCATCATCCATCCATCATCCATCCATCCATCCATCCATCCATCATCCATCCATCCATCCCTCCACACAGCCATCCATCCATCCATCCATCCATCCATCCATCCATCCATCTATCCGTCCATCCATCCATCCATATCCATCCATCCATCCATATCCATCCATCATCCATCCATCCATCCATCCATCCATCCATCCATCCATCCATCATCCATCCATCCATCCCTCCACACAGCCATCCATCCATTCATCATCCATCCATCCATCCATCCATCCATCCATCCATCCATCCATCCCTCCACACATCCATCCTCACCCATGCATGTCTGTCTATCCAGACAGACATAATTCCTCATCTCCCAGACACGGAGCTCTCACAGAGTCCCTGCACTGCCTGGTCAGAGTGAGGGTGGGCACCTCAGTATGCTGGTGACAGGTGCCAGCCCAGCAGGTCTCTAGCCCTGTGTGACTGGAAGAAGCTTTTGAGAGTGGGATCCGGGCAGGTTTGGTGGTGGAGCTGGACCCCTGCTCTCCCTGCAGTGGGAATGGTTGGTATCGCCCAGTCCATCACTGGGCAAGCTGGGGCCTGCCCTGTGCTTTAATGAATAGTCATGAGGGACAGAAGGGGTGGGCCCCGTTTTGTTGTTGGATGCAGCGAGTTGACAGAACTAAGGGAGATGAAAAAAGCAAAAAAGCCAACAGACGGCAGCACACGGGTGGCCAGCACAGCATCCCTGGCGCTGCCCGCCCGGCCCCACTCCCGCGCTCCTTCCTCCCGGCCACCGCCCCGACCCCATGACTCCCGTGGCAGGAGGCTTCCCTGCTCTCCGTCAACCCCGAGACAACTAAAATGCTCTACATCAGCGACCCGATGCAGCATTACACCACGGTAGGTGCTGCTTGCTACGGATGGGGTTTGCTTTGATGCTCTTCTTAGAATTATCCTCCTCTTCTGGGGCACCTGCTCTGGCTCTGCCTGCCCAGCCTGAGTGCTGCTGCTCGGGATGCTGCAGGTGCACGCCTGTGCCCATCCTGCGGCTGCAGGGAGGAACTGGGGCTGGTCCAGCCCTGCTCACGAGCCGTGTTGGTGCAGGATGCTGCAGCCTGGCAGTCAGTCACTGTTCCTCTTGCTTTGCCCCAGCTGCTGCTTGCAGAGCCCACAGTGTGATTTGAGCCTCAGGTGCCAGGGGTGCAGGGTTCCTTACCTGTGTGTGCACAGGTGGGAAGGGCGTTAGCCAGAGCATCCATCCAAGGAACACCTGGAGGTGCTGGACACCACCAGCACCACTTTGTCATCCATTGGGGACCTCATCAGCCGAGCCCACACCACACACCTGCCTCCCCAGGCAGGCTTCCTTTCCCTGGTGGAAATCCCTGGGATGGCAGGGCAGGTGAAACAATACCTGTGCTGCAGGTAATACATTTCCAGCCCTGTCATCAAGTGTCAAGGTTGTTTCCTTAGGGAAAAGGGATTTGTGTCTGTCCCTGGCATTTGGAACAGTCCAGCACAGGCACAGAGGGAGTCAGAGAGAGAAGCAAATTGCTTCATTCCTGGTTTTACCTTAAGTGTACTGGTACCAAGCCTGTGTGTCCATTGTTGGGGCTGTTCCATGGGAGGTCGTTGCTGCAGTTGTGTGAATAATTGTCCCTGTGTGTGTATGTACGTATTTACACACACACACACACAAAAACACTCCTGTCTTCGATTCGTCTTTTCGGGAAATGTTTCCACAATTTCATCAATTTTGAGCAGCAAGTCTTTAGTTTTGCCCACGCGCCTGACTCAGGTCTCTCTGCCAGCAGATTCCCAAAGTCTGGGCTCTCAGGATGCTGCCTCTTGCTTTGTACTAAGGCAGCCCAGCTCGGGGCAGCCAGCCTGGCTGGTAGAGGTGATACCCTGGGTCTCGTATCTCCGCATTCTTCCTGAGGGAAAGTTTTCTCCCATACAGAGCTTGGGATGCTCCGTTCTGTGGCGGGTCCCCATTCTCTTTCCCATTTACAGCCACAGGCTTCAGCCACAAACAATCCTGTCTCTCAGCACAGGAGCAAAACAGCTCAGTCCTGATATTCCTGGATCAGCTGGGCTGCAAGCAGCCCCATCCAGCAGCAATCCCTTTTCCCTTGCTGTTCTCCTGGTTGATCCCTCAGTTTTGTCTGTGCCACCTCACTGGCTCTGCCCTGCCCACGGACCCCGCAGCAGCTGCATTTCCCAGTTGGATGGCAAGAGCTTTCCTAACATGCCTGATTTGCCAGAGTTTCTCGTAAGTTTTTCTCCAGGTGAAGCCTGGATTAAGGAAAGCTTGGCTTGTCTTTCGCTGGGCTATTTATAGAGTGGAGAGGAGGAATAGAGGGATTTAGGCACATATTTTAGGGGAGAAAATGGCTGGATGCGTAAAAGCAAGCCAGATCTTGTTCAGCATTCCTCCAGTTAGTCACAGGCTCCAACGACCTTGTGAGAGATGTAGGCAACAGGAGAACTTCCCTGGAGAAGGATGATTGCCTTTAAACCATTCCACATCGAAGAGGGTTGGGTGAGGTTGGGATCCCAAGTTAAAACACGTCTCCTGATTCCTGAGCCGTGAGCCTTGCAGCCCTTTGGAGAAGGCTGAGCCTGCTGGCTGTGCCCATGGCTTGCACAGCTCTTGGCTTCCCAGAGCTGCCCCAGTGGGTGCTGGGGACAGGGACAGTCCCTGCAGGCATGAGGGCAGTTGAGGGGGGCTGTGTCCCTGCTCCAGTGCAGGGAGCCAGGATGACACACAGCAATGCACCGGACACTGCACATGGTCACCAGCACTGCCACTGCCACTGGGGCTGCAGGGTGAGAGCAACCCCCGAGCAACTCAGGAACTCAGATTTCTGGGGGAAAAAAATCCCACTACGACTGAGAAATGGTTGTATTTGAGTCTGATTTTCTAATGAAATACTGAGGTTGTTTTAGCCATACCGCTCCTGGGAATGTCACTGTGCTTGGGTTGTGCCTGTGGGTAAAGGGGCTGCCAGCTCTTATTGGAAGAATCTGACAGTAATTGCTCAGAAAAGGAATAAGGAAAAAAAATGAAAGAAGATATTATTTGGTCCAATGGGTCTGGAATAAGAGCCAGGACCTGCCTAAGTGGGTCCATTTGCCCCGCGACTTTCCTGCAGCGCTCTGCATCGCGGCCGCGTGCTTTATAGGTTTGAGGTTTTCCCAAATTAGAGCTGCACCAGGCACTGGGAGCAAACATCCCGCTGGGAAACCAGCTACAAACCACTGCTCGGGGCTGGCTGGCTCAGGGAAGCACGCCCGGGAGTGGTGTGTGGGTGTGTGTCCGTGAACACATGAGGGACAGGTTGGAAAAGAGGCTGGAAAACAGGACGGCCGCTCGGTATCGCCATCGCGATAGAGCGATGTCATCAGCAGGGACTGCTGCTCACCTTGGCAGGGTGGCTTCACCGAGCTGTGACACTGGAAGGGACAGCGGGGAGCAGAGCCCTGCATGCAGGACAGGGCTGTCTCTCTCTGCCTGCAGCGGGACATCTCCCAACCCTGAGCAACCCCGCAACATCCCTGCCTTCTCCCCACTGTCAGAAGAGTGGCTGTCCCAAGGCAGGTGCGCTAGAAATGCAGGACTGTGACACCGCGCTGCCTCCAGCGAGGATGGAGCAGCTCGAGGAGGGTGATTTAAGCGTATGGAGTGCATCCCTCACACAAGTGGTGACCTGTCGGAAATCCCGAGCCACCCAGACCAGCTCTTTTGGCTCCCCTCCCGCACGCTGGCCCTTTAAGGAGGCTGTAACAGGACACCCCAGCCCTGCAGAAAGGTGGCTGAGGTTTCCCTGTCTCTAAACTGGCTGGTGTTTTCTTTTTTCCCTCCTCCCCTTTTCCCTTCCTCCAGTCCCAGTTCAATTTGCTGAACAACAGCATGGATCAGAGCATCGGCAGCAGAGCAGCCTCCACCAGCCCCTACAGCTCCGAGCACACCTCCAATGTCCCAACGCATTCTCCCTACTCGCAGCCCAGCTCTACCTTCGACGCCATGTCCCCGGCTCCCGTCATCCCCTCCAACACCGACTACCCTGGTCCCCACCACTTCGAGGTGACCTTCCAGCAATCCAGCACCGCCAAGTCAGCCACCTGGACAGTAAGTTGCATTCTTCTACCTCGGCTAGGGAGATGCTCAGCACCGCCGAGCGCGTCCTCACGGCCAACACCCAACGCGGCGGCGGTGGGGAGGCTCGCACGGGGCAGCTGCGGGATGCAGCCACCACTGATGGGGACTTCACCGGCACAGGTGGTGGCCCTGAGAAGCAAAGAGTGCTGGAAACATCAGTGCTTGCTTTCCAGGGGGTTTCTCCCAAAGGGGTGTGAAGCACAGCGGCTGGGATGTCACTTCTCTCGCCTCAATTCCCTAAATTTTTGGTAAATGTCCTCCGAAAATAAATGCCCTGGGGAAGTACCTGCCTTGTTCTCACGGTGCTTCCCGGCGTATTTGCCAGCGGGTGCTGTCAGAGACGAGGCCGTGGGCAAGAGGGACCTTTGCTCGTGTCTCCCGGCGCCGTTCCCAGCTGTGCTGTAAATGCCTGCTTGTCACTTCCAGTCCTTCTCCATCCCGTATTAGAGGAGTAACTTAATCCCTACAAGTGACAGCAAATAGCAGAGCAGGTTTTTAAGCGCAGTAGGTTTTGATGCACGGAGGGACGGCTGCCCAGCTCCTGCTGTCTGCTCGGGAGCCGGGATGCAGGTTTGGTCCACGGCTGCTCCGAGCCTCCTGCTGCCCGGCACAGGAGAGCTCTGCGAGCACGGACCCGGGGGCCGGGCACAGCGCACGGGGGCTGCTTTGCTTTTTGTGGCAAAAGCTCCTAAATTCTCATCCCTGCTGCTGGCTCAGCCCAGCGTTTTTAAGGAGAACCAACAATTGCTGCCAGTGCCACAAGTGGCAATCCCGCAGCGGGTACCTCTGGAGTACCCGGGAGAACAGCTCACCACGCTTCAGCCGGGTGGGTTTTCTCCTCCAGGAAGCACTGGCAGAGCAGGAAGGTTGGGATGGGAGGACTGGCACCCCGCAGGAACAGCAGAGTTTTCGCCGGGGCTGCGTTTTGACATTGTCATGGAACGGGCAGAGCAGCCCAGCGATATTTCAGCCCCGCGTGTGATAATGACCTTTGTTTGCGGAAGGTGACGTGTTTAATTGCCAAGACAGCCCTTCCTGCGGAGACAGAAAACATCCTCGGCTGCGGTCGTGCAGGGACACCCCGGCGGGATGCTCCCGGTTGTCCTGGGGAGGATGCGGGCGGGGACGGGCTCGGGCAGCGGCCGCAGCGCTGGGGCTGTGTCCTGCCAGGGGTGAATGGAGAGGGAAAGCAGCAGCCAGTCGGCAGCGATCCGGGCTTTGAATGCAGCCGAATTGGCGGCTGGTGCAGTCCGGCAGCTTCCCCACGGCCGGTGGCTGCTGCTTCACACGGACAGGGGACTTGGGACAGCGCCGTGGTTAAACACGACTTGCTCTCGCAGGGGTGGTTAATCCCCACTCTTTCCTCTGGCTTTCCTTGTGGGCTGTTGCTCAGGGATGTATTTCATTAGGAACTGAATAAACCGGAGGTCCTCGGGCAGGATGTGATTCCAGCCCACTCCTATCCCTGCTGGGGGATAGATAACTCCTATCAGTGACAGGTAAAGCTGCACATTCCCGTGCCGCTAAAGCGTCCCAATGGAAACCGAAACAAGGCACTGCAGGGTGGCTTGTCCCAGCACGTAGGGATGGCGGCCAGAACGTGTCTGATGCTCGCTTGCCACTGTCCCCAGCGAGGAGTGCAGTGGGATGGCTTTGGGGTGGAGCAGACACAGCGCAGCAGGGCTCCCCTCCTGAAAGCCATCCCATTCCCCTGGCATCTTTCCACGGTTCTAACTAAAGGGAGCTCGACTGTCTCGCATCACCCTGAGCTGACTGTTCTCCTGTAGCTGTGTCCCACTGGCAGCTCAGCTCACCAGGACAGGATATGGCTGTTTTTCCCAAGCCTTTGTGGGAGATCAGGGCAGGCAGTGCCACACGATGCCCTCCCAGCCTTGGGGGAGCAGCTGGACCCAGGAGCTGCCCGGAGAACGCGTTCATTCCAGGGATGGCTGGGAGCTTCTGTGGAGGGAGCCACGGCTGCAAGGATGGGTCCTGGGAAAGGCCCAGAGTGAGCACTTGAATGCCTGAAGTGGCTTTAACACTCGGGAAGGCAGTCAGAGGTGTGTGACCCTCTGAGGCACGATGCTGGGGTGGCTGCATCCCCCAGAGCTGGGGGGGCTGCAGGGCCAGTGCCCACCTGCACTGGAGCTGAGCCTCGTGGAGAGCAGCAGTGGGTTGGCAGAATCTGGCACCCTGGAGAGCACAGGGGATGTTTCATTTGAAGCAGAGATTTCTGCAGGATTGGCAAGGCAGGTGTAGCGTGTCCGGCTTGCTGAGGTGCCACATGAGGAATGGTCCTGCTGCAGTGACAGCTGGGGTCACCCTTTGTCCTCCTGGCTGGGGCTGTCACAGGCATGGTCAGTGCTGGAAGAGAAGGTCACTGCCTTCCACTCACTGTGAGCTCTGCAGTGCCACACCTGAGAGTTTGTCCTGGTTTAACAGGGGAAGGAGCTCAGCAAAAGAAATGTGTTCTATGTTGTGAATGATCACACAAATAACACTGCATGGGACACTGTGAGCCTCCACAGGAGCTGGGAACACACATGTAATGTAAGGAAAAGCCACTGGGAAACGCAGGCACTTGGGAAGTGCCTGTTCAGTAGGTGTGGGGACAGAAAGGGACGTCTGACAGTGCAGTGATGGTCACACCAAGCACAGCAGCACCAACCATCCTGGTGCTGTACAGGACCTGCGTGGTTTGGGGCAGCACTCAGGAAGAACCAACCCAGCTTGTTCCCCCTGGGGAAGCCTCATGGCTTTTGGATATGCTGAGCTTTGCTGCACCCAATAATTTATGCCAGGATGGCTGATCAATTTCCACAAGCACTGACCACAAGCTCAGCAGAGCCAATGCGCTGGGCAGCATTTTGGAGCAACGAGGGGTCCGCTGCACTGAAGAAGTCTCAGCTGAAGGTCTCTTGCAGTTTGGGGTTGAACCATGGAGGATCTGGCCACAGAGGAAAGGACAGCTGGTGAGCAGGCAATGCCAAAACAAATGGTTTGTGTGAGTCATCTTGTCAAAAGATTTGGCATCATATTTTGATATAATCACAAGCTGTGGTTGATGGAAGCGTGTAGCTCAATGGCCTCCTGGTTTTGAAGGGTTTTGACTAGAATCCCTCTGGGAGATGTGGCATTTCCTATTTTCCCTCACTTAGAAAAGGAGGCTCCTAAGCACCAGATGAGCTGGCCCCTCTATAATCCTGGACAAGCGCTTGGTCTGCAGGGCTGGGCAAATCAGTATCACCTGGGCAGGGGAGCCAAGTGTCCCCAAGCCCTGCCCACACACAGTGCTCCTGTCCACACTTCAAACCCTCTATTGACAAAACAGACATGGCCTGGGAGGGAGATGTGAAGAAGACGAACAGTTTGGAACAGATTTCTTGTAGAGCAATAGAAAAGAAACATTCTGCATGGAAGTTCTCCCCAAGAAGAGCAAGGGGGCTCGATCATGGTATGCCCAGGAGATAGTTCCTGATAGCAGCCAGCTCTTTAATCTAATAGCAAAAGACATAATGAGATCCAGCACTTGGAAGCTGAAGCCAGGCAAATTCAGACTAGAAACAAGGAGGAATATTTATTTTATTTTTTTTTTTAGCAGTGAGGATAATTAACCATAGGAACAATTTACCAAGGAATGTGGTGGATTCTCCCAACTCCTGAAGGATTCAAATGAGGAGTCTGCATATCTCTCCAGAGATAAGATGTGCTTTAGCAGATACCCTTGACTCAATGCAGGAGGAGGAGGAAGGGGTCTGAGGGTAGCAGTGTGGACAATGGGACCAGAACATCATCAGCTGCTCTCCCTTGCTTCAAAATACTGATTTTCTAATTTAGGAAATCTGTGAATGGAAAAGGGTGAAGCCTTGGGACTGACATTACCCAGCTCTGTCCTCGCAGGGACTCTGGGCAGTGCTGGGTGACATTGTGGGTGACCCTGTCCCAACCCCCGGGCTGAGCTCTGAGTGTCACCACCAGCCCCGGACAGAAGCGGCCGCGCCTTCCCGTGCTGTGGGAAGCCCTCCAGGCTGCTGCCACCTCCCTTTTCATTTTTAATGGCCTTCTTATCGCAGAGAGCAACGGCCAGATGCCGAAAATAAGGTTTTCCGTGCGGGCTGGAAGCCCCCCTGTGGCAGGCGGGCCGCCGGGCGGGGCGGGCCGGGAGCTG